CTTTTACACCAATGCTCAGAGTCTGTTTTCCAAGCTTGACGAACTGAGAATACAGGTAGCCAATACTCTTCCCGATGTTATAGCAATAACAGAAACGTGGCTCTCAGAGGACGTTGGTGATTGCGAGGTAGCATTAACAGGATACCATTTGTTTAGGAGAGACAGGAGAGTCCGCCGGGGTGGAGGAGTTGCCATGTATGTCAAGAGCAACTTAGCAGTGTGTGAGAGGACCGACAAGATTTCTAACGACACAGAGGCAATTTGGCTGACTAGAAAGGCGCGGGGATCTCAGTCCCTCGAAGTCGTAAGTAGCTATCGACCCCCGCAGGCGGATCCCGACCCAGATACTTGTCTACTGAAAAGCATAAAAGAGATCGCCAGCCGACCAGACGTTGTTATCATGGGGGGTTTTAATGCACCATGCATTCAGTGGAGCGATATGCATGCGAAGTGCTCGATGAATACCTTCGATTACCATCTACTAAAGACAACCCTAGAAGCTCTACTCACGCAACATGTCCTGTTTCCAACTAGAGCTCGTGGAGTGCAACAGGCCAGTTTTACCAAAGATCCTGACAGTATAGACGAGGTGTACTACCTACCCCCGCTCGGTCGAAGTGATCATGCAGTGCTTTTATGGGAGTACTTGCTGTATTCTGAACCCTGTACAAAAGACACTACGAGGCCAAATATATGGAAAGGGGACTTTCGTCAAATGAGAGCTGAGGCATCACAAATAGACTGGGATGTTCACTTCTCCGGAAACGTTAACGAGGACTGGAACTTATTCAGGGATCGTTAACTGCATCTAATGAAGAACCACTGTCCCTTATCAAAGCCTAGGACATCCAACCGCCCTCAGTGGCTAACAAGAGAACTCAAAAAGGAGATCAACAAGAAAGGAAGGTTATGGAAGAAATTTCGGGAAAACAACAAAATTGCAGCATTTACAGAATATAAAGTTCAAAGAAATAAGGTGAAAAGCTTGATTTTCAAGAGGCGACGGGATTTTGAGAGTAATTTGCTCCACCAAGCCGTTAAAAATCCGAAATTGCTCTACAGCTATTTGCGGAAAAGCACACGTAGCAGGAATCCCATTCCTGTTATGAGGAGTGATGACGGCTTGGAGATATCGGACAGTACAAATAAGGCTGAGCACTTTTCTCAATTTTTCCGATCCGTTTTCACAAGAGAAGCAGACTTTACCCCATCTAATTCTGAGAACACGAGAGATCCCGCTATCAAAAATATTGTATTTCGAGAAGAAGCGATTTTGGAAGAACTGGAAAGCTTGAAGGAATGTAAATCTCCCGGTCCGGACGAGATCCAAGCAAAGCTGCTCTTTGAGCTTGCCCAACAGCTGGCCAAGCCACTATCCTTCCTGTGCCAGAAATCGTTTGATGCTGGAATTCTTCCACAGACTGGAAGACGGCCCACATTACACCCCTTTACAAAAGTGGTAGTCGTGCTCTGGCGACAAACTACAAGCCCGTCAGTCTGACATCAATCTGCTGTAAAGTGATGGAGAAAACCATCAAAAAGGAGTTGATGGCTTACTTGGATACCCACAACCTCTTGTCCAATGCACAATATGGTTTCCGTAGGGGAAGATCATGTGGTACGAATTTGCTATATACAATGCAAAGTTGGACACGAGCACTGGACGCAAAACACACCGTGCATGTTGCCTTTATTGATTTTCGGAAGGCGTTTGACAGTGTTCCGCACCAGCGTCTCCTACACAAGTTGAGAATTATGGGCATCGGTGGTAAACTTCTCAAACGGATCGAAAATTTCTTTGTTGGCCGTTCCCAAACTGTCTGCGTCGAACAACAGCAATCAAGGTGCACATTCATAGAGAGTGGGGTCCCACAAGGCTCGGTGTTCGGACCAACCCTCTTTCTCTTGTTCATCAATGATTGTGTAGATGGTTTGGACTGTGATTGCGCCATGTTTGCGGACGACATAAAAATCTAGAAAGTCATCCTGAATGCTGCCGATGAGACCAGCTTCCAAGAAAATCTTTGTCGATTGGACGAGTGGTCCCGCAGGTGACTCTTGTCTTTCAATTTGAACAAATGCACCATTCTGCGACTCGGAAATCAGACCCCTATTACGCGGCAATACCATCTGAACGGAATGCCACTCCGAGAAGCAGAAACTCAGAAAGACCTCGGAGTTTGGGTTGCAGACAGCCTTAAGCCTTCTACACAATGCTGTAAGGCGGCCAAGGCCGCAACCTCAATGCTATATGCCATCAAGTGGGCATTCGTAGTTTTCGATGAAGACTGCATCACCAAAGTCTTCGGCACATATATGAGGCCCCATCATGAATATGCAATTCAGGCCTGGAGACCGTGGATGCATCAGGATTACGATCTGCTCGAAAGGGTGCAGAGACGAGCAACAAAATTAGTAAGAGGTCAAAGTGCACTGCCATACGAGATCCGCTTAACTAACCTTAATGTCTATCCTCTGAGTTATAGGCAGTTGCGCGGAGACATGATACAAACTTTCCGTATCGTGCGCGGCTTCGATTGTGCCCTTCGGCGTAATGACTTTTTCCAACTCGCCACTGCAACTTACCTCCGGGGACATCCCTTCAAGCTACGTGTGCCACAGGGTAGACTGAATGTGAGAAGATATTTCTTCTCCAACCGTGTCGTGGAACCGTGGAATAACCTGCCCAAGACGGTTGTTATGTCTCAATCTGTGGAGACATTTACATGTGGTCTTGACAGATGTATGCTGCAGCAGCAAGCGGACTATGTGACTTTTTAGCCATGTGACTAGTGACATATGTGAATCAATGTATGCATTCACTTAATGCTGTAATTTCTTCACATTTTGCATGTTTATCGATTTTTTATGCACAAATAGGGAGTTCAAAGGCATAAGCCTATTTCCCTCAAATGCACTGACTGACTGACTAACCCAATGAGCATACTAATTAAAATGATGGGACACCGTATAAAAGGATACCTAGTGAAGTATTTGTGGGAAAGCAACTTATTGGGCGTCGTCTGCAGGGTTTTCATCGAGATGGGTTTTCTCTCAAAAGTTTTCGCTACATAAAAAAATGGGCAGAAGCCTCCGCAAAGGTTATTCAAGAACGGCCGTAGCACTTGACAATGAAAACGGTTGATGGTATTCAGAGAAGGCCTCTGTTACAGAGGATTTTGGGAATAAGAATTCGAGGCATATTGAGTAAATGGATCAAGATACTTCTGTTGCTTGCCGTATGAAGAGTACTTGGCAATCCCGCCTCTTAATGGTCGAAATTTCAAAGTGATCATTCGCAGGATTCCGTTTTAGACTCACTGCAATTTTTTTCACATGGACGATAGCACCAGGCGATCAGACTACTAGATCGTAACATAAACTGATGACAAAAAATCAGAATGGGATCACTTGTGCTGACGAAAAAGGAAAATCGCAATAAGCCACTGATAAACCAAGTATCCAACCGAACAGGCGGTCTTTAGGTTTCGGCCTGTCTGGATTTATGACCATGCACTTAGGCACGCACCAAAGGTCATCCGTAAAACTTCCGCATCCCATCAGCAGACCAAGGTAGTAAAAGAGATGAAGCGCAACGAGGTCTAACTATGTGTACAATAGTGGCCTTGATTCTATCAGAAAAAAGCAAAAAATCTCGAACGTTCCGGAGTCGACTTTGTTTTTTGTGCGGCCCCATTTAAAATGCGGAATGGGGGCCTGGTCCTTTTGGATGAAAAAAAATAATGATCTCTCTGAACAGTTGTAACTACAGGAGACAAAGATGCTCGATGGATTTATGAATAAATAGTACGTTGATAGATTGAAGGACACTAATTATTCATTGTATCCAACAGGCTGCTAGGGTGAAGCTTGCTCCGAACACTTCGAATTATCTGTTGCCGTGGTTGTTCGCCGAAGCCAGGAGGCTGTTATAGCGGTGAAGCACAATTCGTTAGCTAGGTCGAAATAAAAAAAATCGAAATTGAACATACGTGATAAGACCATGTCCAGGTTTTCTTCAGTTAACTAGTAGTCTGGTCGTGAAAGTCGCTACCACGTGGGATAGCGACTGCTAAGACAATTTGAAAGTTATGAGGAAGCCTGGCAGCATAATTGATGAGAAGATTGTCTTCAGTCACACGCCCGCTTATAGCCAGAATTAAAACCATTTCCCAATAAACACCACCCATAGGAGAACGCCGCGAACATCAGCAGTTTCCTAGAAGCCTGTTGTAGAACGCGTTCACGAGCGAATATATGCAGAAAACTGTGAATTAAGACGGTCACCAAATACTCTGCTTTTAGCCATTCAAATAAGTAAATGCACGAAATGCAAACCTCCAAGGTGCCCCAGTCATCATGTAACCTATTGTTATTACTCATGTGGGCAAAGCAGGCGTCCTCTATTTTCATATTTTTGTGAGGTTTTTGAGCTGCTATTCCAAGTGTCTAGATGTAAAGTGTGAAGTGTTGTCCCCTCCCCCAACTGATGATTGGCGTTCACGTCCAGGCTTCGTAAATTCCTTCCCAACGACAATTTAGAATAGTATCGTAATATGACTCATTCTTTCTATTTCTCTTCCGTAGCTTTATCTCTTAACAATTTTCATGCATGCAGATGTGTTCAATGTGATTTCTGAGCGGTTTTCTTCAATAATTTGTACTCTTACTGTAGTTTCAAATGTATAAATAACATTTTTTCTTCCCATTTAAAAACGCGTATCTGTTTGTCAACCACAATCTGTTCCTCCTGTTTCATGGGATTGTGGTTATTCCGACTTCCTTCTAATTCCAGGGGTCCCGTTTGAACTTTTACTCTTTGGTTTGAGTCCAGCTTCATTTTTAGGCCCTACAGAATAAGAATAATAAGTCGAATGAATATCCTAAAACTGAAGCCCCAACCTTCTACAAAACAGGAAAGTTTGTCTACTGGAAATGGCGTTTGAATCCGTTTTTGGTGTTGGCGCGGATTTCGTGGAGGTCACGCTGCGTGAAGTTCAATGGGGAGGCCAGGTGCGCCATTTCATCCTCATTTAAACGTATTTTGCCCTAGATTTTCAAAGGGGACGAGGCGGCGGCCGGGGAAATTTCGGTCGGTTTAGTGAACGTGGTGGTGGCGGTGGTGCTCGGGGCGGTGAACGCGGCGGTCGAAACAGCTATGGGGGCGAGGGGGACCGTGGCGGTTTCCGAGGCTCCCGAGGTTTCAGAGGAGGTGAAAGAGGAGGCTTTCGAGGTACACCGCGCGGACGTGGCCGTGGTGGAATGCGCGGTGGAAAGAGGGTCTTTATTGAACCCCACAGACACGAAGGGGTTTTCGTGGCCAAGGGGAAGGAGGACGCGTTAGTCACTCTGAACCTAGCTGTCGGCCAATCAGTCTACGGAGAAAAGCGAATAAGTGTCGATGGTGCTGATGGCGAAAAAGTTGAATATCGTGTGTGGAATCCGTTCCGGTCTAAGCTTGCTGCCGGAATAATAAATGGCCTAGAGAGTATCCACATGGGCCCCGGAAGTCGAGTGCTCTATCTAGGTGCCGCAAGTGGTACTACTGTATCTCATGTTTCGGATCTTGTTGGCCCGAAGGGAGTCGTTTATGCCGTGGAGTTTTCGCACCGCTCTGGCCGCGACTTGCTGAACGTCGCAAAACACAGGACAAATATCGTTCCAATAATTGAGGACGCTCGACACCCTTTGAAGTATCGAATGCTTGTTGGTAGGTTTATGTCTAATCTCATCTCCCATTCCTAAGGGATGGTCGACTGCATTTTTGCTGACGTTGCACAACCCGACCAGTCTCGAATTGTTTCTGTCAATGCAGAGCACTATCTCAAAAATGGCGGCCATGCCGTTATTTCCATTAAGGCTTCCTGCATTGATTCCGTCGCGGCACCAGAGGTGGTGTTCGAGAAGGAAGTAGAGACTTTACGGAAGTCGCAGTTTACGCCGCGAGAACAGGTTACTCTGGAACCGTACGAAAGGGGTCACGCAATGGTGGTCGCTCAGTACAGGTAAGTGCAGATCATAATATGGCATTTAACTCGCTCGTTATAGGGCCCAGAAAAAGCAAAAATAACTGAAGACCTACCAGTCATCTGTACATATTTGTCTAAATAAACTTACAACTTTTTTGTTTCTGTTTCTGAGCGCTCTCATGCCCCCGTAGGTTGCAGGCGCGCATTACAGGTTGGTGTTGAACTCTTCAGAAGTCTTAAGTATCGTCGGTCTGTGTCGTGTTTCTCTTTGGGATGGGATGCTTAGGCCCAGGATATTACGCAAAGCATTTGGGTTCAATTGCTCACGTCGGACAACTGTCGCATTCCGGGCTGTGCAGCCATCCACCCCCTTGGAGTCTTATAATCTCTCTTTGGGTCTGCATTTGTCTCTACAGAGCCTTACACCGGAAAAGCTGGCTTAACTATTCGATTAGTCCTTTTCCTTGGCGTAGTGTGCTGATGTAATGACACTGGGTAGCCGCAACGCCAATGTTGAAGGGTTTGACAGAGGAACTCGATCACTCACTGCAAACGTTACACCCCCACAGGGGATCGGGGACTTTCGTGGGAGCGAATTATTGACCGTGATATTCTGCTAACGTTGCTTCCACGATACGGTTTTCGCTGATTTCGTCTCTGGGACGGGTGACCCGGTCTGTGACTGGAGGCCTCTGGTACATAACGAATGCTTCCACTTCGGTTGCCATGAATATTTGGATACAAGCGCGATTGGAACGTCTGTGCTTCGAAATAACCCTTGATTTGCTTAATTGGTTTGTCAGGGTTTTGCGATAAGACAAACAGGGGGCTTCAGGGCCCCGGAAGTGTCTGGTATGAGGGGACGGACGAAGTGATATGAATCCGAGTCGGGCATCGCGGGTCTCGAGGCAAAGAATAACTTACATGCCATTAGTACTGGTAATTCCGTTGGGACCTAACGTAGTATGAAGAGGTTTGTGGGCCTGTTTCCGGCGCTGTGCGATGAGGCGCACGCTGTACTGTCGCCACACACGGTGGGATCTTAAAGCAGCTCAAGAGGCGCGGGGGCCACTCGTCAGCGGTGCTTTAGCAAGTGCCTTGTGAAGTGCGACCTTCTTCAATCCCTCCACAGGTGCTGTGATGGCTGCTGCCTGGGGATCCGTGCCTCCCTGCAGTTTCGTTTGGCAGCAGGAAACGTTACACTGCTTGCGCCTGACGGTAGTGGCTCTTTAAATGGCATTAGTAATAACTCAGACGCCATGATATAGCGGGTGTGGTCCAAATTATGGCTGCCCAACGCAATGGGCCTGCGACGGTCCCGCGGACCGACCGACAGGCCGCGCAGACCGTGGTGTTGGGGTTGCGCTTGTAGTAAACCTTTCCCGTACTGCTCTACGCCAATCCGGAATAGACTTCTGCGAATCGGAATCCCCGGTCCAGACAGCACACGGGCCAGCCAGCTCGACCCGCGAGCTGATGGGACAATTGGTCGCCTGTTCCTGACCGAAACCGCGACCACTGTTGAGATAGTCCATAAGTGTCATCGGTCGATTGCCCCCAGGCGATGGACACCTGCGTGCACATCTGCATTGAGGGGCAATTTCCGCGGTTGCTGGACATGGTTTGTGTGTGCGGCAGCTATCTAGTAGTCATGCGACCTGGAAACCGGACCCTGATGGTCCCGCTGGCTTGGACTGCGTTATTAGGCTAGGTACGAGTGGGCGCGTCGCCGTATTCGACTGTCAAGTATGCGCGCGATCGCGCCAGCTCCCGATCCCGCGTCGTGACCCGCCTTGATTAACGAGAAACGGTGATACTAAGTCGTTTACACCCTAGAGCCGAGCCTGCAGTAACCTCACACGGTCGTATAAAATGCACTGGCGAAACGAGGAGACTCCTTCCGACTAGCAGACTAGATTTTTGACAAGACCCACGAGTTTCCGAGGCTACTGTCAGGTTTCAGGCTAATGGTCCACAGTTCCGCGGATACCACAATGTCAGTCGTCCAAGTATTTTGGGATCCAGCGATCGCTTGACAGTACAGAAGAGATTTCCAAACTTCGGCTTCAGTGTCAACGTCGTTTAGACCGGTTCGTCAGGGTTGTATTCTTGACCAGGGTAGGTCGCTTGTGAACATCAACAGCCTTCAAGTCCGAGTGGTGAGGAACTCAAGGCATCAAGAGGCGTGTTAGTCAAGATAGACGGGACAGGAAGTCACTATTCCAATCGAAACGTCTTACCTATGTACGAGAAAACCTACGCAACCGTCACGGGGTTGGAGTAACACCCAAATTCGGGTTTAAGACTCAGGTAATTTGGGCAAACCCTACGATGGTAACTGGTGACTCCAATACCACGACCCTAAAACACCAAAGAAACGGCAATGGGCATCAGGTCGGGCACTGTTTTTCAGGACTTTGATAGGTCGGGTTTTCCCCGCCATATGTAGGCTACCTCCAAGTAGCGCAGTATCCGAGTTGTTCGTGCTCGAACTAATACTCGAAAAGATGTTTTGTGGTCAACCGAATGACCGCTATCTAGGTGCTTTGTGATAGAAGACTGTGGAATTTTATTCGGCTGCTTTATAAGCTATTTAGGCATGTGCTCAACAGACTTGGCTGCCAATTGCCTTTGCGTTCGCCCAATGTACTTGCATCCACAAGTGCATGTGAATTCGTAAACACAATTTGACGTGGCGTGCAATGGCAAGGAATCCTTTGCCCGTGGAACTGGGATAACCTTTGCGGGGCTGCAGAATAGGAGTTCCGCTGAGTTCTACGTTCTTTCAATGGCGCATCTCAATCGCCGCTTGATGGTGTTTGAGATATGTTATGCAACGACAGGCTGCAGTCGGTAAGCCGTCTCGAAATCTACTGGTTCCAATGAATTCTGCTGTCCCTGCCTGCTTTACATTCATTCCGAGGAAATATTGCTTCAAATTAAGATCCTTCTCATATTACAGAAGTCCCTGCCTTCTGCCTTCTCAGTAGGTCTGCATATCTAATCCTTCCTAACCAATCACACAGACAGAACAAAGTTCTCTGCTCTTCCATTTGCTAACTGTCGGCGGTGCAAGAGATACAGTCATCTGAAGGTGAAAGTGTCACGTGGCTCTCTTAATTAGTCAGTGGAAGTAGGTGCGCCATGGTATGTTCTCTCAAGGGCGCATCTCAACCGCCGCTTAACGGTATTTGAAGTGATGTCACCCACTAAGAACCCACCAAGGCTATTCCAGTTCCACGGACAAATGAGTTCTTGCTATTGAACACCACGTCACATTTTGTTTACGAATTCACGTGCACTTGCGGATGCAAGTATATTGGGCAATTGGCAACCAAGTCGGTTGAGCACATGCCTAAATGGCTTCTAAAGCAGGAGAATAAAATTCCACGGTCTTCTCTCACAAAGCACCTAGATAGCGATCATTCAGTTGACCTAAAAATATCTTTTCGAGTACTAGTTCGGGCACGAACAACTCAGATACTGCGTTACTTGGAGGCTGCCTACATACGGCGGGAGGAGCTCAACCTATGCAAACAGTTAGACCACGTAGTCAACCTCAGCCTGCCCTGGTAAATTTCAGCCCCTTGATTTGCGCAACCCCTGTGCGTGCTAACTTCCCCGTTTTATTTTCTAAGTTGCATTTTCAAGTTGCCATTTTATTGATTAGTTTGCGTGCAGTATACGATGACCTTGCTATTTTATATTGATTTTCTCTGTGAAAGTTCAAGTATCTGTATCTTTCTCCTCTGCCATCTCTGTCGTGCAATAACAGGCTGCAGTTGATAAGCCGTCGCAAAATTGATTGGTTCCAATAAATCCTGCTGTCTATGCTTGCCTCAAAAGGTACTCTACCCCGTGTTTCACAGATAACCACATAAAAAGCGGTCCTCCTGTGCTCAATATGCTTGAAAAGCATCTGTGGCATAAACCCAAGAAAACTAGGCTCGCGCAGATAGGAATTAGTAGAACATCTGGATTGTTTATACCAAGTATAGGTCTAAGGAAGGTCAAGGATCCAAAGGCTGAGTTTAGAATGGTCACGAAGCCAGCACATGCCTCTATTAAGAGTGTATATATATATTTACAAAAAGAGTACAAAGCGTGCAAACTAAGTGGCAGGTGGAAGGAACGCCAGGAAACGGTGATTGAGGTTCTTGACCCGGTGAATCGCCCAACCACTGTCGATCCCACCCAGGCCAGGCAGACGCCGCGCAACGAAAAGGCGACGCACCCGACTATGCACCAGAGCCATTGCGCACATAGCACACGGTTCACTGGATAGGTAGACGTCACAGTCGGTGCAGATGTAGCCAGCCTCCCCTTCCTCCTCCTCCGCCCTCCTTTTGGCGGCGGTGCTGACTCGTTGAGTCCGTCCGACCTCCTCCACCGCGAGCATGACAGCATGCTGAAGGCGCGAGCGCTCGGAGAACGAGACGGTCTCGGCCAGGGGAGAGCAGGCGTCCTTGTTGTCGGATCTCGGTGGGAGAACAATGGCCGCACAGGGTGGCCCAGATGGGCCCGCGCACGAGGTATTAAAGGAGGCGCACACATTCCCTCGGGTCTCTGCGAGCTGCACCACCCGCTCCAACCACTTATTGTGCCTAAAAAGGGCATTTTATAGTCTGTATGCAAAAAACAGCACCGAAGAAGCCCAAAATTGGTAACGCTGTTGGGTCAGACCTAAAGAACAAGGCCAACACTGGACAAGGTTCCGAATGAGGCCGGATTCGTGTCGGCTGAGAAACCGGCAGCAAAGGGGGACAGGGGGCTTGGTCAGCCGCTGCACCAAATCCCATAATTCGATGGCTGGACTTAATTTTTCCACTGGTGTACTGTAGAGGGGGGGGGGAGGGCGAGTGAAGCTGATAGCACGCCAGCCTTCCTCATCACAACAGATTTGACGACCAGAGGCTCGAAGGGTTGCTAACTGGAGAAATAACTCGGCCTATGGGGAGGAAAGCCAGGTCGCAATGGGCGCTGCTTAACGACTACCCTCACTAGTGTGATGTCTAGATAGGTGAAATTTGGGTCGCGGGAGCTGAGGGACCAGCAGGTGTGCGGTGGGTGAAAGACAGGAGCAAATAGACAGTAATCTCCA